TGATGCTATAAAAATATTTTAAACCAGTAAGGAAAGTAATAAAGTCGGACGGGGCCGCCTACATGATACCCTTCACCACTTTGGGTATAATCAATATATATCGATACTAAATTTTTTATGTGGTCAGATATAGAAGCTATATCTAAATCTGAACCGATTTTCAGGAAACTTAACACACATCATTCTAGGCCTAATTCATTACGCTGTGCCAAACTTCTTGCAAATCGAAAGATATATAGGACATTGGTGCACCATTTAATAGGGCGAAAATATATATGGGAGCTATATCTAAATCTGAATCGATTTTCAGGAAAAAAGGATATGTCAATCGTACCTAATTCATTACGGTGTGCCAAATTTCGTGCAAATCGAAAGATATATAGGGACTTTGATGCACCATTTACATTAAATCGGATGAATTTATGTATGGGAGCTATATCTAAATCTGAATCGATTTTCAGGAAACTTAACATACATCATTCTAGGCCTAATTCATTACGCTGTGCCAAATTTCGTGCAAATTGATCATATATAGGACTTTGGTGCACCATTTACATTTAATAGGCCGAAAATATATATGGGAGCTATATCTAAATCTGAACCGATTTTCAGGAAACTGAACACACATAATTCTAGGATTAATTCATTACGCTGTGTCAAATTTCGTGCAAATCGAAAGATATATAGGGACCGATTACATTGCAAACATATGCACAAAGACATAATACCCTGTACCACAGTGTGGTGAAGGGTATAAAAATCCACGCCTATGGATACAGTTTTAAAAATTGCCATATGCGTTTTCATTGGAAAAGTTCTCTTAGCAACAGATCCGGATAATGCATGTTTAATTTAACACAAAGGAATCTCGACAAAGCACCTCTTTTAACAGGACAAATCCCAAAATGTCCTTGAGTAGCCAATTTAATTCTACGAGGTTTTTGCACTTGTCACTCTGTATTGCGTGACCATTAATGGAATTTATTTCATGACAGGTTCCCACTACAATCCTCCGCGACATTTCGAATCGATGTGGTTTCCAATAATTATTTTGTATTTTTTTACAAATCTGTTACATACTTTACAGCTGTAATCATTAATCATCCATATCACGGTGAATGCCAGTATGGAATTCATTTTTAATCACAATGCCGTTATTAAAGGTCGGCGAATGGCCCTTCTTGGGGCGAAAATCAAAATTTAAATTTATTAACAACTCCCCAATTTAGCAGAGACACAGCAACAGATGTAATTAAATCGTTGTACAAGACAACAAAAATCCAGTTCTTTTAAATTGATTCTACGATACTACATCGAAGAATCAATAATACGCAATAAATTATAAAAACACAACTATGCAAACAAAAACAGCAACAACAAAAACGAGAAGCGAAACATAAAATTGAAATGCAAACAAACTTGTCCAAATAACTGACCAAGACAACAATGTAAACTTGAGACAAGTTAAGAGCCACACCATCATTAACATGTCATACTAAGATGAAAGGTCATTTTCCGGTTTATGAGCCCTCCTATAGCATCAAGATGAAACGAAGAAAACTGGTAAGAATTTGGTTGGAAGCGACAATAAGATGCCCTGCATAAACCGACATTCAAAACAATTGACGTGGATTTTTTACAAAAATATTTTTTTTCAACTAAAAATATCGATGCCAAAGATATCCCCAAAAATATTAAAAAAGCCTCAACCTATATACCCCTAATAATAATTAAAAAACCAGTGAGCGGAGCAGTATAGTAGCACGGGGCCGACCATATGATACCCTACACAACTTCGACGAAAATCTAACTTTCTATGGTTCTATATTCAGAGCTTGGGCAATATTTTGAGATATTTCCACCCTCTAGACCGACTAGATGTCAACAAATATTTCTAATATTCAGTAGACGAGGGCTGTACTTGTCCAGATTGTCTTTGCCGTGGGTTATGTTGTGATGTTGAATTTTCAATTGTGGCCTGTAGATCGACTTGGAAAAAAACACAAAAAGTTAAGTTTTAGGTCCTCTTCATTCCAATATTATTATCTGATCATCACCGAAAATTATAGGCATTGTCCTTGACCATAACTAGAACCTCAAGGAACATTTCAAAGCGATCAGCGCTATATTTCCGCCCTCTAGTGGGGTAATGGGTTACTAAATAATATCTGAATATGTAAGCACCCGTAAATATTTACGTGTAACTCCCGCATCCGAGTACATACGACAATATAATTGGCATCAATTTAAAGGTCAACAACACGTCTTGGATATACTATCGACTTCTCGGCTCTATGTCAGGAGTAAATATATACGCTATAGAATACAAATTTTGTCATTTTTCAAACAAAAGTCAGGGTCCATTTGACCCGCTAAATATTGACCGATTTTTATCAAAACATGCGTGCTTATTCTTTGGCTCAATTCCCTTCTCCAATTCCGAGATGTTTGGACCATAATTGCGGCCTCTGGAGCGACCAGAAAAACCGACAAAAATTTAGTAGTTGGTCCATTTCATCCACTAAATATTAACCGATCTTTACCAGAAACAATAGAGGTCTTCATTGGGCCGAACCCGTCCTACATGCAAAATGTCGTGAAGATTGGTCCATAACTGTGGCCTGTATCGTGTTTACAAATTATAATGGACAGACGGACGGACACACATGTCTAGATCGACTCAGCTATTCGAGATATGACGATCGGTATGCTTAAAGGTGGGTCTGGGACCAATATTTCGCGGCGTTACAAACTCTTGGGGTTGCACAAAGCTATAATACCCTGGCGACATAGTTGTGTAGGGTATAAATACATACCAACCTAGACACCCCCAAAAATATTTTAAATAAAAATCCCCGCCTACCTAGAGACCTCTAAAAACTTTCTTAAAAAATGCTTTTATACCCTCCACCATATTATGGAGGGTATATTATTTTTGTTTTTCTGTTTGTAACGCATCGAAATAATCATTTCCGACCCTATATAATATGTATATATATATATATTCTTGATCTGCGTAAATTTCTAAGACGATTTAAGCATGTCCGTCTGTCTGTTGTAATCACTCTAGCGTCAAAACGAATTGAGATAGAGCCCCAAAATTTTGCATAGAGTCGTCTTTTGTCTGCAGGCAAGTCAAGCCAAATTTCGTGCAAATCGGAAGATATATAGGGACTTTGATGCACCATTTACATTAAATCGGATGAATTTATATATGGGAGCTATATCTAAATTTGAACCGATTTTTCCCAATTTCAATAGGGTTCGTCCTTGGGCCAAATAAGTGACCTATGCCAAATTTCATCCAAATCGGATCATAAATGCGACCTGTACTTTCTTCACAAAAGTACATGGACGGACGGACAGATGGACATGCATAAATCGACTCAAGTTCGAAGATGTGCTATATCGGTCCACGTTTAGCCATAGCTCCCATAAAAGGGTACCCTAAATTTTCGGTATTTTGAGGTTCTTGAGCGTGTTTTTCAATCGATTTCGCTGAAATTTGGTATTTTGAGCTCTTACTGGGTAGCAAATCTCCCCACTAAAAATTATAAATATCCATTTTTTTCGGACAGCCTCCATATAATGGTACCCCCAATTGTCAGTATTTTGAGATTCTTGAGCGTGTTTTTCAATCGAATTCGCTGAAATTTGGTATTTTGAGTTCTTATTGGGTAGCAAATCTTCCCACTAAAAATTATAAATATCGGTCCATTTTTTGTGATAGTACCCCTATAAGGGTACCCCCCAATTTTCGGTATTTTGGGTGTTTTGATCGCATTTTTCGACCGAATTGGCTGTAATTTGGTACTTTGAGTTCTTATTGGGTACCAAATCTCCCCACAAAAATTATGAATATAGATCCATTTTTTCGGATAGATCCCACATAGGGTACCCCCAACTTTCGGTATTTTGGGGTTCTTGAGCGCGTTTTTCAACAGAATTCGCTGAAATTTGCTACATTCGGTTCCTATTGGGTACTAAATGTCTCCATTAATATAGGTCCACTTTTTCAGGTAGTCCCCATATAACGGTACCTCCTAATTTTCAGTATTTTGGGGGTTTTGATTGCATTTTTCGCCGAATTGGCTGTAATTTGGTACTTTGAGTTCTTATTAGGTACCAAATTTCTCCACAAAAAAATATGAATGTAGGTCCATTTTTTCGAATAGCCCCCATATAAGGGTACGCCCAATTTTCGGTATTTTGGGGTTCTTGTATTTTTGCATTTTGTAGTCGTATTATGTAGTCGTATCAAATCTCCCTACCAAAAATTATTAATATTCGCCCCTTTTTTGGGGTAGTCCCCATATAACCCCATTTTTATATTAAAATAGATATCTGATTTGTTCCGCGTTTTGAGTTTGATTCTAAAACTCTATTGTAATCATTTCTCCTGCGGAGGATAGCGAGATAAAAAATTATAACGTAAGGTTCGATAATGAACAATAGCCGCATTTAGACCTAGCCCCAGTGTAGAGGTTCCAGAAGGAGTGGACCGCTATTCCCCATCTTTGAATTTGAACTAAGTTTGGAAGAAATAATAAGATGAGCAAAGTTTGGATGAAATCTAAAATTTTGTGAAACGGATTTGGTCCAAAGAAACATGGGGTCTAGAACAAATATTTCGATGAGGCACATTTGTACCGTGTGAAATTGTATACACCCTCATTAGCCATAAGGCTGAGCTATGTTCCCTATACTTTCATTTCAAGTACCTGTCTAATGGCTCTTAAAAATATTTTTAAAACATCCCTACAATAACCGAAACGTTGACGAAAATAAATGCCTGAAGCAAATCGCAAAACATAAAATCAACCAAAACCGATCGCATCGGTCATGCATAAAAATTTGCCGCTTCGATATTCGCGTAGAGCAGTAGGTGCGTTTATTACAGTATTATCTGTTGTTGTTGTTGCCGTTTTTCTTATCTTAATACTAAAACTGGTTTTCTCCACATGACTATTGTTTCGGAATTTCAGTGTTTAATGACTTACCGCTGTCAATTTCATTTTCACTTGGATCGCGAGCAAAGAGATCATGCTGTTCCGATTCAACACTCTGCAATGCCTCCTGACCATCCTGGTCAATGTCATCGTCGTAGTGGCGATGATGAGGGTAACGATAACGTTGTTGTTGCAGTTGCTGTGAACGATAACGGGGACGTGTGTATTGTGAACGATATTCGTCGTAGTCATCGCGATCGTCATATGGATCGTAACGTTGTCGTGAAGGACGTTTATAATTTAATGTTTTGTTATTGGTATTGTCTTCTTCATCAGCGGCGGGTTCATCTTCAGGTTCACCATCACCGTAATCATTTTCAGCATCTGCCTGGGAATCCTCCTCCTCTTCCTCCTCTGATTCAGATTCTACATCATCTTCATCGTAGTCATCTTCTGGCTGTTGCTGTTGTTCTTTTTGTTTCTGTGCCTGTAGCCGGCTATAACCTCGGTATTTGAGTAATTCTTGCAAAGAATTGGGAGTTTTCCTTTGACTGGTGCTGCCATAGGTTTTACGTTGATAATTTGTTTTTGTGGAACCACCTCCTCGCTTGGAGGACGACGACACTGAAAATCCTCTTGGCCTTGGTCGTTTTAGCGATTTGCTATAACGGGGTTTTGCTGTTGTTGTGGTTGTCGTTGTGCTGGTTGTGGTTGTAAGTATGGCCTTGGGCAAAATTTCAGCAATTGTTGGAACTTTTTGTGTTACGCCAACACCTAGGCCCAAACGTGTCTGCAAATATGTCGACAACAGCTGTTGGGTAATTTGATTTTGTCTGGCAATTTCCGAGGGATCCAATGCGAAATTGGTATCTTAAAGGAGGAGGAGAATAAGAAGAAGGGGAAAATATAAATAAATCAATTAAATAACGAAATAAATTTTGTGTCTCGAAAATCTTTTTTATGGTTCGTTTAAAATGTTATCTTAATCGAAAAGTGTTTAAACTTCACGTGTCAAAACAATTTTTTATAACTTGCATACATTTTTGATCTTTTATGAACCGGATATTATATATGAGGTCTATGTTTGGACCTAGAAAAAAAAATATTTGTAAGAAATCCACGCCTATATTTAGAGCTTTAAAAATGCGTTTAAAAAATCTATGCCTAAATCCTATGCCTACGTTTAGAGCATGTAAAAACAAGGAAAGTAGTAAAGTCGGACGGGGCCGACTATATGATACCTTTCACCACTTTGGGTATATTCAACAGATGCATTCTAACATAGAATGATAAATATGAACCGAATAAGATCAATCCATAAACCTGTCATTCGGTAACCAATACTAAACTCAAATCGAAGGATATAAAGGGACTTTGGTGCACTATTTACCTAAAATCGGACGTAAATATATCAGTGATTTTGGTTGAAAAACGCACTCAAGATCCCCCAAATGCCGAAATTTGGGGGTACCTTTATATGGGGTCTACCAGAAAAAAATTGACTTATATTTATAACTTTTTGTGGAGATATTTGGTACCCATTAAGAACCCAATATGCCAAATTTCAGCGAATTCGGTTGAAAAACGCGCTCAAGAACCCCAAAATACCGAAAATTGGGGGTACCCTTATATGGGGGGTTACCAGAAAAAATGGACCTATATTCATAATTTTTTGTGGAGTGATTGGGAACCTATTTAGAACTCAAAGTACTAAATTACAGCCAATTCGGTGGAAATATACGACCAAAAACCCCAAAATACTGAAAATTAAGAGGTGCCGTTATATGGGGGCTACCAGAAAAGGTGGGCCTATATTTATAATTTTTCGTGGCGACATTTAGTACCCAATAAGAACCCAATGTACCAAATTCCAGCTAATTCGGTTGAAAAACGTGCTCAAGAACCCCAAAATACCGAAAATTTGGGGGTACCCTTATATGGGAGCTATGCCAAAACGCGGACCGATATATCCCATCTTCGAACTTGACAAAAGACAAAAGACAGCCCTATGCAAAATTTCAGCACCCTGTCTAAATTCCTTTGGAAGATAGCGTGATTACAACAGACGAACGGACATGGCTAGATCGTCTTAGAATTTTATCCAGATCAAGAATATATATACTTTATAGGGTCGGAAATGAATATCGGGAGCTGTATCGAAATCTGAACTGATTTTCCCGAAACTTAACAGTCATCATTCTAGACTCAATTCAGTCCGATATGCCCAATTTCATACAAATCGAAGGATATAAAGGGACTTTGGTGCACTATTTATCTAAAATCGGACGAAAAAAACTATTTTCCTAAAATCTTACGAAAATATATATGGGAGCTATATCTAAATCTGACCCGATTTTCACGAAACTTAACACACATCATTGGTAACCTTATTCAGTACGCTTTGCCAAATTTTGTGCAAATCGAAGAATATATAGGGACTTTGGTACACCATTTATCTAAAATCGGACGAATATATATAGGAGCTATATCTAAATCTGACCCGATTTTCCCGAAACTTAATACACATAACTCTAGATTTAATTTAGTACGCTGTGCCAAATTTCGTGCAAATCGAATGATATATAGGTACTTTGGTGCATTAAGGGAAAATTCCAACGGTGTTAGAAAGAGTACATGTCTGGCTCTCGTATGAACGAGGATTATTGACTTCGCTCTAAAATTAACAAAATGGCGGAACTTTGAAAAAATATTTTTGGAAAATCGCCGATTTTTTGACCAAAAACCAAATTAAAAAAGTAAGGAAGATCTTCACCGATTGGCTTTATCCTAGTTCATACGATAGCTATACACTCACAGAGAAACGTGTAAAAATTTGAAATCGATTGTGTTATTAGTTTTTGAGTTATCGCGCCCTCCATTCGCAAAAAAATTTTTTAGAGAAAAACGCGTTTAAAGTTTGGGAAGCCCTTCAGCCGTCACTTGATGCTGACACAATAAATCGTATATATCTTCAACAGTTTTTTTTTTTTTTTTTTTTTTTGTAGGGACATTCTTTTATTAGTGTAGATTCGAATTATATCAACACAAATTTTGACCCCGAGAATGGGGGGGGGGTCCACTTAAGTCGGACGAAAATATATATGGGAGCTATATCTAAATCTGAACCGATATTTCCCAATTTCAATAGGGTTCGTTCTTGGGCCAAATGAATGAGCTGTGCCAAATTTCATCCAATTCGGATCGAAAATGCGACCTGTACTTTGGTTACAATTTAACATGGACAGACAGACGGGCGGTCTGACATGCATAAATCGACTTAAAAAATGATTCTATGCATATTCTCAAAAGGAACCATGTGTCTATCTCGTTTCCTTTTGCCTGTTACAAACATATGGTGAAGGGTACAAAAATATTTGTAGGAAATCAATATTTAGAGCTTTAAAAAATATTTTAAAAAAATCCACGCCAATCCTAAAAAAATGTTTAATCTACGCCATATGTAGGACCTAAAAATATATTTTAAACCAGTGAGCGGAGCAGTATAGTCGGACGAGGCCGACCAAATGACACCCTACACAACTTCCACGAAAATCTAACTTTGTGTGATTCTATATTCTGAGCTTGGGCAATATTTCGCGATATTTGCAACCTCTTGACCGACTAGAGGTCAACAAATATTCTCTTCTTCGTGGCTTGTGTTGTGATGTTCGGGTTTCAATTGTTGCCTATAGATCGACTCGAAAAAACACAAAAATTAAGTTTTCGGTCCTCTTCATCCCAAACTTGTTATCTGATATACTATCAACTTCTCGGGTCTATGTCCTTCAGGGGTAAATATATACGTCATAGAATATAAATTTTGTCATTTTTATACCCTACACAACTATTTTGTCAAGGTATTATAGCTTTGTGCAGCCCCAAGAGTTTGTAACGCCGCGATAATTGCGGCCTCTGGAGCGACCAGCAAAACCGACAAAAATTAAGTTTTTGACCCATTTCATCCCCTAAATATTAACCGATCTTTACCAAAAACAAAATGGGTCTTCATTGGGCCGAACCCATCCTACATGCAAAATTTCGTGAAGATTGGTCCATAACTGTGGCCTGTATCGTGTTAACAAATTATAATGGACAGACGAACGGACGGACACACATGTCTAGATCGACTCAGACAGTCGAGATAT